TTTTCAGGGCCATCAAGCTTACATCAGTAAAGAGTTGGAATAGAATTTATCTATGCTTGTTTGTCCATATTCAGAACCACAAGCCCCCAATGACCACACAAACTTGGAAGCAGGGGTGCAAGTGATTTTGATTGATTCAGGGTGGCCAGCAAACCGGGAAATCCGGGAATACCGGGAAATATCCGGAAAATTTGGAAAGTAACCGGGAAAACCCGTGAATTCTGCAAGAGAACCGGAAAAATAAATTAACCATATCATAGGAACAAATTTTTACATCAGAATTTCAGAATAAACCATTAAAACAGAGTGATACTTTAGCAAATGAATGTCTTGCTCTATTTGTTGCATAATTTTCTTCAGTATACCGTCTTATTATTTTTAGAATTTAATCACTCAGCAATATTGCAAATTGATTTTTGTCGTTTCAATTTCAGATGTAAAATGCATGGTCCTCGAAAGAAAATATTGAAGATGCTGGAGTTTGGAAACAAATATTTGTAAAAAACGAAACTGAATTATTCTTTAATTTTAATTTTTCGTTGTTCAAAATTATCATGATGAATTCCAGAATTAACTTGGAATTCTGCTCTGAATTATCGTGAAATTGTTCTGAAATAAACCAGAAAACACTCCGCGTAATAATTACCGTTGAATTCTTTTAGGAATTTTCTTCCAACCCCTTCTAAGAATTTATTGGAATCCTTCATATAATTCCCGTTCCCGCCTATCCGGATACTTTGATTCCTTTAAAAATCTTTCAAACATTTCTTTTAACTCTATTCAAAACAAAAGAAATCTTTCGAAAATTAATTTATAAACCCTTTGGAGTATTTTAAAGAATTTCTTTCTAATTATCAGCAAATTTTTTGGAATCAATTTTGTTTGGGTTATGTGATGAATCATTCGCACTAGGGTTGAAATTATTGCCAGAACATTTTAAGAACTCTGTTTCTTGTTGAATTCCGATCATAATTCTCTTGGAATTCTTCTTAAAATTCATCTGTCATGTTCCTCACGATGCCCATACAAATCTCATCAGAACCACGTAGGAATTTTCTGCAATGTTTTATTTTTATTTTCACAATTCTTTTTTAAATCTACTAAAATTACCTAACAGTTTAATTAAGAACTAACATTCTTCTCCAAAGAAATCCTTCCAAATTCATCTAACAATTTCTATGGATTTCATGTAAGAATAATTCTGGAAATCTGCTCTTCTCCTTCGAAAACTGTGTGGGAATCCTTCTCAATATTTGTTTTTAAGCAACACTTTGAATTCTTTTAAATTTTACTAAAAAATCCAGGGTTTGTTCACCAGATTCTACAGATTGCTATGTAATTTGTTATTACCCTTAAAATGCTTCCAAGTCTCAGAGCGTGACAATTATGACTCCACGAGTCATAAGTATGATGTTTTTTTTTAAACCTGTGATCTTGAAAAAAATTCAAAATTTCACATTTTAATTATTGTTTCTCCAAATCTTGCATCACGAAGCATGTTATTAATCACAAATTTTGAAGAAAAGTTTTAGTTTCAGACTCTACACAAATTTCAAAGCTCCAGAATCTTGGGAATCTTCTTAAATCACATTTGTTTTTATCCTGTCAGTAAATTTTGTTTTTTTTTTGTTGCATATTAACAACCGGGAATTTTTAAGATTTGAACCGGAAAAACCGGGAAAAAACCGGGATTTTCAAAATGAAAATTCACTGGCCACCCTGTTGATTCTCGTAATCAACTTTCTTTTTGAAAAAGATTACTACAAATTTGGATCGCCTACAATTCAAAACCGGAAAGAGTTGAGATAATAGATATTTCAGGCATAACATTTGATAACGGCACAAAAGCATTTGTAAACAAACCTTCTTAGGCCCTTTACACGCGAACCAAAGCACGCCCACGCAAACCAACAACATCATCGCATAGGGGCAACTATCACCTTTCCGTAAGTGGTATTGGTTTGCGTGTAAAGGGCCTTAGAATGTTTGTTTACAAATGCTTTTGTGCCGTTATCAAATGTTATGCCTGATTTGATCAATTAAAAGAACTTAATGCTCTTCACATTTATTCCGTGCACTAGCGGTCCTACGTCAAGCTTCCGTTTGTGCCCCTAAGCACAGACCCTTCTACTTTTTTTTATAGGTATGAGGCTTACCATGAATTATTCCAAAGACCTTCAGTTGATCATAGATCTTCGTAAAGTCTTTGGATACTTTTTGACTATGGTTAATGACTTTTCAGTCAGTATTATATGTTTTGATGGAAAAGCTAGAAGTTACTGAGATATTCTTTCAAGATATCAGGTTCATTAAAAATTATTCCAATGACCTTCAGTTCCTTTGGATATTTTTCATCCATAAAGTCCTTTGGATATTTTTTTCAAGGCTACATTTTGATCAGGTATTATGGTTTAGATCTCCAGCTGTCCAAAACTTCAAAGCATGCCTCCTGGATTTTCTCTTAAGATATTGAGTTCATCAGAACTTATTCCAAAGATCTTCAGTTGTCCAAAGGGTTTCATAAAACACTATGGATATCTTTACAAGTCTTCAGGTTTATAAGGTATTGCTCTGAAGATCTCCAACTGTCCATCAATTCAAATCAGAAGATACCAGAGTGATCAAGAATTATTCAAAAAACTTTAAGTTTATCAGAGACCTTCATAAAATCCATTGGATATTTTTTTAAACTTCAGGCTGACCAGGTAATGTCCAATAATCCATATCATCTCAAGTTGTCAGCTTCATCAGAAATTTTTCTAAAGACCTTCAGTCAAGGTTGCAAATACTCATTTTAGCTAAAATAATGTTTTTCGGAATAATAAACTGTTGTAACTTACAAGAAGAGGTAGAGTATGCGTTTGAAACATAAAACCTGTAAATTTTGCTTTCTATGAGTCACAATCAGCAATTTGCTGATCGCTGAGTGAGTGAGTGAGTGAGTGAGTGAGTGTGTGGAAAATAGCTGATTGTGACTCTCATGAAGTGAAATAATCAGGTTTAATATGTCAAACACATTCTTTGCAACCTCTTCTTGTATCTTACATATTCAAAATGTGATCATAGCATCTAATTATTTCATAATAAAAAAAACATTGTTTTAGCTGAAATGAGTATTTGCAACCTTGCTTTCAGTTAATGAAAAATCTCCATTAAGTCCTTTGAAGAGTTTTGAAGACATCTTGTTGATCAGGTATTATTTTCTCCAACTGTCCAATAATTAGAGTCACGTCTTTAAGATATTCTTGTAAGATTGATCAAGTTGATCAAAAATTATTCCAAAGACCTTTAGGTGATCAGAGCTGGACTACCAATCAAGAAAAAAATAAATTGATCGTTAAATGTGTGATCGATGAACAACAGTGTTCGGTTCCTTAGTGCAAATAATTTAAGGGGCGATAAAAGATCATATTTGAAGTAAAAAATGGTTCTACGCATATGATCAAATATCAAAGATTACTGAGTTATTGAACTTTTTCTGTTTTGGTCTATACTTGCCATAAATTGGCTCTAAAAACTATGCCATTTCGCACAAAACTCATGCCTGCATTGCACAGCTTGGTAAATTTCCTACTTAATAGTGTCATTTCTACTTTAAGTAAGCTTCATTTAGACACATTTTAGGGATAAACGAGTCTAAAACTTGTGTTTTCCTACGGGTTTTCCCTTATTATTTAAAAAAAATACGTAATAAAGCGTATTGTTTTGTCTAATCAAAAGATGCTACTCAATGCGTTCTACAACTCTCTCTTTGTCACCAATTTTCTATCTTGTTTAGTTTTGTCGCAATTTTGTACTAAACACATAATGTTGGGTCGTTAATTAACGGTTGCGTAAAACACGAATTCAACCCCACCGTGCGTTGCTGTTGACGTCTGTTTGCAGCGCGCATAGCACGCTTGATTGCCACGCGGAGTGGTGGTATGAAAAGTGAGAAAAGAAAAACAATGCTGCAGACGGTTCAAAATTGAAAATGTTTTGTTTTTTTCTCGATACTAATGTAGATCAGTTTATTGAACAGATTGGGCATTTTCCAATGATTAATCAAATTGAAACACTGATCTTCGTTTCTTTCATAAATTTATTTCAATAGTTGCTCTATGTGTCCTCCATTTTTTTGGATGCAGTACCTGAACCTTATTCATCTTCTCTTGTATCTTTCGAGCAGCAAGAACAATTTTTTACTTCAAATTCAAATTCGCCCCTTAAATTATTTACACTAAAGAAACCGAACACCCTTTATATCTGTTTGTCTGTGGTCATAGTTACTGTAACACACTTGGGTCAATCGTGACTCAAACCTAATAAAAGATCAAAAGAACCGTCATCAATTCAATGATTACGATTGATCCTACTTATTTAAAGTTTTGTGTTGTTAAAATTTGCTACTTTTTGGTTGAATGCCCAAAAAGTTATCAAACACGTTGATGCTGGATAAAAAAAAGGTCTTAAAGGGTGCAAACATGCAAACTGCTCTCAAAAATAGAACCTTAAACAAACTGTCGCAAGTGTCACCATAACTTAACCTATCGTCTAGACGAAACATTATGGCAACCAGCGATGTCACATTGCCAGATTTTTGTACACGAAAATAGTTAGGACCCCTTGTTTATTTTGAAACCGTCATGTACTGTTTGTTAGCTCAAAAAATAGTTAATTTTGGAACTGTTTTTTTATGTAATGAATTTGATGTGGCATCGCTGGTCGTAGATTACCCCAAAAAATCATTTCTAGATCTATCTATTTGCACTTAAAAATCCTGTAAACTACACAGAAATAACCTGCATGGCAATTTTCAATACAATTCCAGCATCGCAATTCACATTTAGCAATATTTCTATTCCCGGGCAAAGCCGGGCACCTCAGCTAGTACTAAATAAAGAAAGCAACATGTTCAACGTAGGGGTTTCCCGAGCTACATCCATCCATCGTATATCCTTTCACCTTGATCAAATAGCTTAACAATGTGCACTCAATCAATTTTTGCTACGTGCTTTCAGAGAACGCCCACTGAATCTAGACACTGGATAATTGAAGATAAATAATTGGCAAGCGAATTCGGCGAAGTGAATTCTTCTGGCAATTAGTGCTTTTCACAATAAAATATGGTCAGTTCAACCATCACGCTAGATAAGAAATCATCGTCATCATCCTCATCGGCAGCAGCAGCTTCAACGGCACAGGCTTCCGCTGAGCAGAACAGCAACAGCATTATCTCAATACCGCTAAACGCTACCGCAAGCACCAGCAACGGCACCAACTGCAGCGATTCGTCAGCGTCGACGGTGGCTTCAGCTTTAGGTCTAAGTGAGCAAAAGATTTCGGTACTCTTTCCAAAATGCAAACCCAGGGCAGCTGAGCACTATCCAACAAACGCATCAAGTGGCATTCTAAACAGCAACAGCAGCAGCAACAACAACAATAACAATAATAAAAATAGTATGAGCACAATTACGAGCAACAGCAAGTCGGACATCACTGGCACATCGTCGTCACTAACTACGCCCACTTCGCTTACGTCTTCTTCCTACACTTTCAACAGCACAGCTTACGGAATGGAGAACAGTACGTTCCGTGGTAACGGTGGCAATGGTGGCATTTCCGGTACGGGTGCAGGATATGATTTATTAGGAAGTCGGCCAGAACTTAGTTCGAGATTGAATAACAACCAATATGAGAGCAGCCGCATTAACCGGCACACGAACTCGGTAGACAAGTATAGCTTCTACTACAATAGCCAACCACCTCCTCTGTCGACATCTCCAACGGAGAACAATGCCAATGCCGGTGGTAGCAGCCAGTTTCTTCCGTCAGACGATGAAGAAGATGAAAATGATCTGCGAAAGGATAGCTACCCACGGCACAGCTATTACACCAACCGCCAATCGCACTACTACAATCTTCCAAAGCAAGACCCGGGGACACCCAGTAGCTCTCGGTACCACTGGGACCTATCATCTAGCAGTGCTCTTTCCTATTCGACACCCATCTCGTCCACGATAACGTCCACCACCGGTGGAAAGCGTCCTTCGATTAAATCGTCCTACACCAAGGTGCTGCAGTCCCCACTAGAGGACGAAAGTGACATCGAGGACAAGCTGAAGTACTTCAATTATCAAAACGAGATGCACATCAGTAGCACGAATGTGGCCCACATGGTCACCGCCAGTGAAAAGCCTAGTGGAATTTATAGCAATTACAAGACTAACGAAATGATTGTCTTCAACGATATTGACGAAGAACGACGGCGTGTGCAGCAGCAACAGCGCCAGGAAAACGACCATAAACACAGTACTGCCGGTGCCGGTGCGGGATTGCATGTGTCGGCCACTGTCGACGATCCGGACGACGGGATTAGTCTGCATCGTCGGAACCAGCCACTGCAGGATACTATTGGTGGTGGTGGCGGCGAGGGAAGCAACTGTAACGAGACCAGCAGTGCGCACAAAACGGCAACGGCACCGGTGTCCAATTCAGGATCGAATATTATGGGTGAGTGATTTATTACTATTATATATGGGCCTGGTGGGTTTTTCGGTCTGTTGTTTTCCTGCACTATATGCCGTGTATAGCGTGAGGGGCTCACATTACCTGGCTGCTTCCGACGATGCTGGATGCATTGAAATATAAAGTATATTCATGAAGCACGGGTACATTTGGAATGCCATTGTGACATTTATGGTTATTCGAATAGTTCCATTTTTTTTTTCAGTAAATATATTGTATTTTGTGGTTCATTTAGTTTTAATTACTCCGATTTCTAATTATAGAACCATAGAGAATATGTATTTTCCCCGCTGCGTCAACTTGAATATGAATGTTTTAAAAGCGACCTAATTGTTGCCAATGATATAGAAGCTACAATTATGAAAACGACGACTTACTTGGTTTTTGTTGCGTGATTTCAGTGCTTTCTGCCGTGGGAGCCGTAATTAGACACTTTATGACAGAAGTGGCACTACATTGTGAGTGTGCTTTATAAAGATAGACTGGATGTCGGTATTTATGAATTTCTTTGTCACGAAAATAATTGTGCTTTTAAAATCTTGAGAAGATGTGCATATTTAATGGCAAAACTTGAGCCAACAACGTTTTGTTATGTAGGTACCTAGCCTTGGAGCAACAATAACTAGTTTGGTTGTACACAGTGATCTAAAACATGACATGAGGATACACCCAACCGTGAAATGTAAGATTCTTTTACATATTTGCATGAATAGTATACAGAAGCATGTGAACAGATTCTAATGTGTGATTGGCGTAATGGCGTTTGGTTTTTAAAATAATTTTGTAATTTTTATGTTAGCTTATTTTTCGAACAAAGTTTGTTTCCCCAAATGCAGAAAAAATCTCAGAAATGAGAAAATCATCTCGGTAATGTTCTTTACAAAAATATGCATGCTGGAAAACATATGCAGAGGATGTAATAAATCCAACCTTACATTGAATGTAAGAGAAATTTGTTTTGGGTGTAGTTGTGCTTTAGTCAAAGCAGGCTCTTTTTGTGCGGACCTGTAGAAGAATATTTGAAGAAGACACACAGTGTTGCATATTTTTAAAAAGCTTCCCACCCTGCGGTTACCGCAACCTTCAGTTGTATGTAAAAAATAGTGGTATGAGTCCAAAATGGCAATGGACTTGTCGTTAATAAGGCTTGTACTCGAAAAAAATGCACCATTTTTATCCGTGTGTATCTTTTTTAGACGTGGGTAAAAAAAGATGAAAATCTGGGTATAACTAGTTTGGAGTGAATTGTTTACATGTGCAAAATTTCATAACAATCGGTTCAGTGGTTATTGAGGTGTCATCGAAACAAGAAGAAAATCACCGGAGAATTTTACGCGCCGTCATGGAAAATCCGACTGCGACCATGAGATGGATCGGAAGACAACTGGGAATCACCCATACAACTGTGTCTCGGGTGGTAAAATCTTTTAAGGAGTCCCAGATGACCGAGCCGCGGGCTGGAAGTGGAAGAAAATCAAAGACAGCTGACCCTGTGAAGGCCCGGAAGGTGTTGGATTATTTTAAGCGTAATCCGAACCTTTTGATTCGCGATGCGGCTTTGAAGGCAAAGTGTTCCACCTGGTTCGTTCAGCAAACCATGAAACGAGCTGGGCTTCGTGTATTCAAGGTCCGGAAGGCACCGAACCGGCGTGATCAACAAAACACGGCGGCCAAATCCCGTGCAAGGAAGCTGTATCGAGAGTGGTTATCGAAACCGATATGTGTGGTTATGGATGACGAAACCTACATCAAGGCAGACGCAAAGCAGATACCGGGGCTGGAGTTCTACATTGCCAAATCACAGTTTGATGTTCCGGAAGACATAAGGATGAAGAAAGTGGACAAATTCGCCAAAAAATACTTGCTCTGGCAGGCCATATGCCAATGCGGTAAACTGAGTAAACCGTACTTCACAATGGGTACCATCAACAGCGAAATTTACCGCACCGAGTGCCTCCAGCAGCGTCTGTTGCCCTTCCTGCGTTCCCCCGGTGGCGAGACATTATTTTGGCCAGACCTGGCATCATGCCATTACGCGCGATCGACGTTGGATTGGTACAGAGACAATAACGTTGTTTTTGTACCAAAAACCGCCAACCCCCAAATTCACCAGAGATTCGTCTGGTGGAAAGATTTTGGGCCATAAAGAACGCCAAAGTTCGAAAATCGTCCAAGGTGTTTAAGAACGAGCTGGAGTTGAAGAAAGAATGGATGAAAGTGACCAAAAGGTCGGCTCCACCATTGCACAAAATGTAATGAAGGGTCTTAAGGGAAAGGTACGGGCTTTCAGCGATGGAAAGGAAATTGAATAAAGTAATTATGCCGTAATACATAATCCATATGTATTAGTTAATTCCCTGAAAGTTTCAAGAAAATCCGACTTAAAATAAATTTTTGGCGAACACTTTTGTCTGGTGCATTTTGTTCTAGTACAGGCTTTACAGCACAGTAAAGTCGAAATTGATTAAATACTTTTGTGACTCATTTGTCAAAAAAATTCCTCATTTGTAGGTAAAATACCTATTAATTATAAAGTGCAAGTTTTACAAAAATCCGTTGACTTTGAAAAACACGAGAATTTTACTAAAATTGCTCATACTCCATGCAGACTAAGCTCAATAGGGTTAAGATCTTATTTCCATCATACTAAGCACAACCCGCATTTTACCTCTATCTCTTAGGATTTTGAACAAATAATGGAATGTTTCTATCAAAGATAAGTTCTAAATTTATCTATCTTTCCATGCGTACCATTAGATTTGATAAAGGGTGTCAAATTGTAGAGATATTGATACAAATCTAACACCACGTCTGGACTCCAATTCCGTTCAAACACATTGAAACACCATTGAATGCGCTTCGGCATACGAATGAAGGGCGAGAATTGGATTCTCTAGGAGCGTTTTGTCGCTTTTGACCATATTGATTCGTTCACTATAGTTGATGTTTCTGTTAGATATGACGGAGATGGGTGCTTATGTCGAAGTAGGGCTCTACCCTACTATATCTACCGATGTATCAATAAATTGGTATTTGATGAACCAGTAGCCAAGATTTCAGAAATCTGTCTATCTATCCCTTCCTAAAAAGTCTACGTGGTTCATGAACAACCCCTACCAAGGGGTATTCAACTCTGCACACCTTAATCTGTGCCAAGAGTTTTGGCAGTGCCGAAGCTGTACCAAGCGTTGTGCCTATCATTCCGAAGTTGGCCGAAGTGTATCAATCAAGGCATGGGCCGCATCTGCAGTTCAACTGTACCCTGTGGTTGTTGTTGTTCATCTGCACGCCCATGGGATCTTGCCGAACAGCAAATTACTAATGGGGTGTTAACATCTGTGCGGATTTGCTAGCGCTGTGACAGCCAACTAGCACGAATTTCAGTTGCTCCTGAAATCTAATGCTAGTAGACGCTGATGCCCTGTGTACATTATGCTAATGAGCTTTTTTGCTAGCAGCTAGCTCATTAGCGCTAGCATAAGTGTAAACACCCCATAAGTGTCGTCATGCGTCATGCACTGTCGAGATTAAGCAAGGCTTTATAATTGATTGATTGGTAGGCCACCCATCGCACCGGATCCTTTTGAGACGAACTAGAGCAACAGAAGAGTCCAGATTGGATCGTTGATGATGGGGTGTACTGCATTGATCTGTTCCTTAAATTCTATACTGTTTCGCTAAGGCAATCGTCCAGACCTGATGGAATATTTGGGGTTAATACGTATCGACATCACCCAATAAGTACTGGGACTTGTATGGACATCCCTATCCTATGGATTTCCCATCGAAATCAATACCAATTGAAACCAATGACTGGCAAGGATACCTAAGGAAAAACGTAGGAGAAAACGATAAATCTTCATCCCGGAAGACCCTTGGCAAGACCGGGATTCAAACCTGGCCGAAATACAAAACCCATCATCCACACCCCCTATGACGTGGGTTTTTTCTTTATCGTTTGTTCTGCAAACAACCTTGTAAATCAAAACAAAATCCTCCGCTGCTGGCTCAATATTGTCGTCGTTCAGAGGATTTTTGTCCATTCAGTTCGCCGACCGCATTCCGCACGTACCGTGTCGTATTGGACGATCTTACAGGCATTTGACCAACCGTTGCTGGAGGGAACCCCTTTTTGGCCATCTTGACTGTCGTATCGACCCTCTCGACCGACCATGGTGTGGAAGAACTCTGTTGGCGTAAAGCTATTCTGGACGAAACCTCAAGCCGCTGAGACTTTCGCTACGAATCGGATGAGATAAACTTAGTTTCATGGTACAGACAATACTCACAGCATTTTTTCTTGGCATCCGAACCTAATGTGAAGCCCAGGGGAGTAAACAAAGAAGTCAATTCTTAATTAAAATTATCAACGATTGCCTGCAAAAAGCGCTTTCCCTAACACAGATTTCAAAATCTAATTCCATCTGGTCTCGCCGAACTGGTGCTTTTTCAATCACCGTGTGTGGTGGTGTATGGTCAGTTGTCATCAGCAGTAGCAGCAGTGTTTTCGGCGCGTGGCGTTGAACATTGTTCTCCAGTATACAACGGAAGGCTGCCCGCAAGCAGTGAGCTGCACATGAGCGTCGGAGCATGGAAGAAGCCACACCGCTACTGATCGGATTCACACACTTCGAATTAAAGTAAAATTTAATGCTATTCTGTTGAAACTAGCTTCACACCCGTTCGAACCACACCCAAATTCAAAATGCACTTATACCAACAAGTATTGCAAATTAGCAAAATGGGAAGTATTGAAATTTTGACCATATTCGTAAATACAATATTATTGTATAATTATAATTATTCTACTACTGAAATGACAACTTCAATTCCAAGATTCCAAATTCAGGAAAGGCCTGCCGAAGAACATGGAAGTCCTACTAAAGTTCAGGGAAGTCTTGACGTAGTTCAGAGAACGCCTGCCAAAGTTCAGGGTAGTCCTGTCGAAGTTGAGGGAAGTCCTTCCAAAGTTCAGGGAATTCCTG